ACTGCTCAAGTTCAGTTCAATTTGATGGTGATCGTTTGTGGAATGCAGTTTCTTGAGGAGTGATTTTTTTTCTTGCAACCCTCCCATACAAGCCACATTTGTGGAGAATTTGTGATATTGTCACATGCACACAATGACCACTCTTTGTCATAAATTCCTGCAGCTGCTTCAGAGTTGCTTCAGGCCTCTTGGTTGCCTCTCTGATCAGTTTCCTCCGGCTCTTTCATCCAGTTTGGAGCAACGTCCTGATCCAGGGAGGGTCTGTGTTTCACCAAATACCTTCCACTTCTTAATAATAGACTTCACTGTGCTTCTAGGCATTGATAAAGCCTTTGAAATATTTAGTATCCATCTCCTGACTTGTACCTTTCCACAACTTTATCCTGGAGATCTGCCTTGCCACCCATAGCTGATCATTTGCTTCAGTTGCACTACCAAGGACTGAAATGCTCCAGGAAAGCTCTTTTCATGCTGTGCTAATCTAAATGACCACAGCTGATCACAGTTGAAAGTCAGATGGCTTTGTGTGCCATTGAGAAGGTGATCAGCTATATCTGATTGAGTTTACAAGTCATTTTTAGGAGGGGTGATCCTTTTTCCAACTCAGTGGTGCTGTTTTTTATAGTGATTCTTTTCTATTCCCACTGTATATATATTGCTTAGATATATATACCTGCTACACTGAATACTACACTGAAAAAATGTAGAAACAATTTTCACTCTGAAATTGCTAGTAAATTTCACAGTTAAAGGGGTCATATGATATTGCTAAAAATAACATTATTTTGTATATTTGGTGTAATGAAATGTGTTTATGCAGTTTAAGGTTAAAAAAACACATTATATTCCACATACTGTACATTATTGTTTCTCCTCTATGCCCCGCCTTTCTGAAACGTGTCGATTTTTACAAAGCTCATCGGTCTGAAAAGCGAGGTGTGCTCTGATTGGCCAGCTATCCAGTGCGTTGTGATTGGCCGAATACCTCAAGCGTGTGACGGAAATGTTACGCCCCTTACCATATTGTGATGCCTAAGAGCAGATTTATTCCAAGTAGTTTGTTTTGATTTAACTTAACAATGGTATTACCATGTTTTTGGGCATGCACTTTGAACAACCTTGTAGTATATCATAATGTTCTCACTGTTAACTAGCATGCATATTACTGCTTATTAGTAAAGCATATACATACATACAGTGGGTATAGAAAATAATTACCCCCATTTAAAATAATCACATTTTGTTGCTTTGCAGCCTGAAATGAAGACGGACACAGTTTTTGTTTTATTCAGCTGTAGTGCAACTTATAACATCCAAGTGAAAGATATAAATCCAACATGTCAGAAAAATTCAAAAATAAATAATTTGCCCGCTCTTCTTTGCAGCACTGCTCAAGTTCAGTTCAATTTGATGGTGATCGTTTGTGGAATGCAGTTTCTTGAGGAGTGATTTTTTTTCTTGCAACCCTCCCATACAAGCCACATTTGTGGAGAATTTGTGATATTGTCACATGCACACAATGACCACTCTTTGTCATAAATTCCTGCAGCTGCTTCAGAGTTGCTTCAGGCCTCTTGGTTGCCTCTCTGATCAGTTTCCTCCGGCTCTTTCATCCAGTTTGGAGCAACGTCCTGATCCAGGGAGGGTCTGTGTTTCACCAAATACCTTCCACTTCTTAATAATAGACTTCACTGTGCTTCTAGGCATTGATAAAGCCTTTGAAATATTTAGTATCCATCTCCTGACTTGTACCTTTCCACAACTTTATCCTGGAGATCTGCCTTGCCACCCATAGCTGATCATTTGCTTCAGTTGCACTACCAAGGACTGAAATGCTCCAGGAAAGCTCTTTTCATGCTGTGCTAATCTAAATGACCACAGCTGATCACAGTTGAAAGTCAGATGGCTTTGTGTGCCATTGAGAAGGTGATCAGCTATATCTGATTGAGTTTACAAGTCATTTTTAGGAGGGGTGATCCTTTTTCCAACTCAGTGGTGCTGTTTTTTATAGTGATTCTTTTCTATTCCCACTGTATATATATTGCTTAGATATATATACCTGCTACACTGAATACTACACTGAAAAAATGTAGAAACAATTTTCACTCTGAAATTGCTAGTAAATTTCACAGTTAAAGGGGTCATATGATATTGCTAAAAATAACATTATTTTGTATATTTGGTGTAATGAAATGTGTTTATGCAGTTTAAGGTTAAAAAAACACATTATATTCCACATACTGTACATTATTGTTTCTCCTCTATGCCCCGCCTTTCTGAAACGTGTCGATTTTTACAAAGCTCATCGGTCTGAAAAGCGAGGTGTGCTCTGATTGGCCAGCTATCCAGTGCGTTGTGATTGGCCGAATACCTCAAGCGTGTGACGGAAATGTTACGCCCCTTACCATATTGTGATGCCGTATCCCGGCCGGAGCGATGAGACAAAAACATTAAACCCCATTATAAACGAGACACACAGTGGCCTTGAGTGAGCGGCGGTGGGCTTGCGGCATCCACATGTGACGACCCCGTGCTGGACTCCGCTTCGTCCACGGTGAAAGCTGATCTGGCGATCCACAGCGTGAAGTTGATGTATTTCCTCAGCGACAGCACGGATCAGCTCTAGGCATGACGAAGCGGATATCGTCCTCTTTTGGAAGACCAAACAAAGTAGTTTCGCTTTCACAACAAAACACACAGCGCCTTCACAACATGGCGGCGGCGGCAACAACAATACTACAGCGAGAATAAAAGTTAAGCCTTCTTTCTTTGCGTGAACATTTAGGCGGCGTTATGCAAATCTTCCCAGATAGTGATGTAGACATGTGGGGGTGTGTTAGAACGAGCCGTTTTAGGTAGGTGTGGCTGACTCTGAACTTTAATAAAGAATATCTCTTTGGATTTGAGACTTTAGTCTGCAACTTTACAGATCTTCTTTATGCACCAAGAGCTTGTAACTCTCCAAAGAGAAAGGATAAATTGGAATTGCATCATATGACCCCTTTAATTACAAAGAAACAGCAAGTAACACATTAATTAAATATGACATTTTCAGGTTGTAAAACGTTGCTAATGATAATAATATTTGCTTTATTTATAACTGCAAAAAAAACTTTTTTTCAGTGTAATATTGTGCATTTAATTTTTTCCTTTGGTGTAGAAGCCTGTGTATTTTGGTGGTTTGTCGCTGTCCTTGGTGCTGAAATCATGACCGGAAAGATGTCAGTGAGTAACGATCTGGTGAACAAAAGTGTTTCAAGTGTTACAGAAAAAACCATCGAAAGAACAACAGAAACACAAATAACTGAGAGAAAACTTAAAAAGGAAGTGAACCGTAGATTAATAATAATAATATTAGTACATTATTATTATTATTATTGTTGTTGTAAAGTAGGTCAACTCTTTTCTGCTATGTTGTAGGCTAATATATATATATATATATATATATATATATATATATATATATATATATATATATATATATATATATATATATATATATATA